TTCATTCCCACAAATGGCAAGAAGAAAAATAACCCATCAATTACAATAAATAACCAAGGTAAACAAGGAAGTTCAGAAAGAAACTTTAAAAATCTCCACAAAACAAACTTGAAGACATGGAAGACTATGATTTAAATGACAAGAGAATCCAAGATTACAATTCTAAACAAACTCAACAAGATAAAGAAAACTGAGAAAACCGATTCAATGAGCTCATATATAAAGTCAATGGCAAAAGGAGTACTTCATCCAAGAGACTGAAACTATAAAAAAAAAAAACCCAACACATTCTGGAGCTAAAGAACTCAATAAATGAGATGATGAATAAACTAGAGAGCCTAGGATATACAGGAAACCAGATGGAGGAAGAATTAGTGATACTGAAGCTAGAAGTCTAGAAATGACTCAGGTGGAAGAGAGAAGAATGGAGAATAGAAAGAAAAATGAAAGATCTGTATGAGAATTATCTGACTCCATTATAAAGAGCAACATAAAAATAATGGGTTTGCCTGGCCGGTGTAACTCAGTGGAGTGAGCGTCATCCCATGGACTAAGAGGTCCCAGTTTGATTTCTAGTCAGGGAACATGCCCAGGTTTCAAGCTTGATCCCCAGTGCAAGAGGGGGTGAAGGGGTGGGGGTGTGAGAGAGGCAGCTGATCAATGTTACTCTTTCACATCGATGTTTCTCTTTCCTCCTTCCTCTCTCTCTAAAACATATCAGTGAAAACATATTATTAAAAAAAAAAAAGAATGGGTTTACCAGAAGAAGAAAAGAACATAGAGCCTATTTAAACAAATAACTGATCAGAACTTCCCAAGCCTATGGAAAGAACTGGATCCTTGAATCCAAGAAGCTAACACCTAATTATCTCAACCCATGAGGCTTTCTTCAAGGCATATATGAAAGCTCTTAACAATTAATGACAAAGAAATAATTCTCAATACAGCCAGGGAAAAGATGGTAACCCTCATCAGATTTATAGTAGAAATCCTAAAAGCTGGGAAAGACTGGAATCAAATATTCAAATTACTGAAAGAGAGAAAACACCGGCTATGAATAATATATCTAGCACAGTTATCCTATAGATATAAAAGAGAAATAAAGGCTTCTCCAGATATACAAAAGCTGAAGGAATTTATCATCATAAGGCCTGCAATAAAAGATAGGCTGAAAGCTGACCTTCTACATGAAACAAAAAGACAAAAGAATACAAAACTGTAAGACTAACAGACACAGATCAAGGAAATTGCAGCTCTAGTTCAGAATATGGCATTAAACACTTAAAACATATCATAAAGGTCAAAGGAGATAAAAGTATTAAATAAAAAATAAAAAAGACAATAGTAACTGTAATTTGGAACTGAATGCACAGTGTAAAAAAATAACCCGACATGAGGAACAGTATTAAAGGGTCACAAGTTCAATTCCCAAAGACACGTACCTGGGTTGCAAGTTGGATCCTGGCCCTAGTCAGGGCGCATGGGGAAGATAACTGATCTATGTGTCTCTCCCCTCTCGCCCTCACTCTCTCCTAATCCTAACCACCCCCCTCTCTAAAAATCAATGGAAAAAATATCCTCAGGTGAGGATTAAAAAACAACAACAACAAAAACTAACTACTGTATATGCTGCATTCCGGAGACACATCTCAGCTGCAAAGACAAAAACAGAATTCAAAGTGGAAGGGTGAAAAATGATTCTCCAACCAAATGGCATTCAGAGAAGAGAGGGTGTAGCGATACTTATATCAGACAAAATTTGATTTCAAGATAAAAACAGGTAACAAGAGACAAAGATGGACAATTTATAATGATGAGGCAGACAATACATCAAAAAACATATAAAACTTATTAATAAATATCACCCAACCAGGGAGCATCAAAACATATAAAGCAACTACTAACAGAACCAAAAAAGAAACAGACAAAATCACATTTATAGTAAATGCCCTAAATACCCCACTGACGACAGATCATCCAAGCAGAATATCAATATGAAAATATCTGCCTTAAAAGACACATTAGCCCAAATATACATAATCGATATTTATAGAGCTTTTCATCCCAAAACACTGGAATACACATTTTTCTCTAGTGCACATGGAACATTCTTGAGGACAGATCATATATTAGGGCATGAAATTAGCCTCAACAAATTTAAGAATACTGAAAGCATATCAAGCATATGCTCTGACCACAATGCTTATAAACTGGAAATCAACAGCAAAAAGAAAGCTGGAAAAACCATTAATATGTAGAGATTAAACAACATGGTACAAATATGACTGGGTCAAAGAAGAAATATAAGAAGAGATCAAAAGATAATAGAAACATTCCATTCCCGGCTGGTGCAAGAACAGGAGGTAATCAATTGATGTTTCTCTCTCACATCAATGTTTCTCCCTCTTTTCCTCTCTCTCTCTCTCCCTCCCTCTTCCTTTCTCTCTCTCTCAAAAAAAGAGAAATCAATAAAAAAAACATATCCTTGGGTGAGTATTAAAAAAATAAAGACGTACAGAAATAAATGAGAATCACAATAGATGAATTAAAATATGGAGGAGTTTATAGCATTATAGGCTCCCTCAAGAAACAAAAACCTTAACGAAATAATCTAATATTTCACCTTTAAGAACTAGAAACAGCCTTGGCCAGTTTGGCTCAACGGTTAGAGCGTCGGCCCGCAGACTGGAGAGTCCTGGGTTCGGTTCCCACTAAGGGCACATACCTCAGTTGCAGTTTGTCCCCTGCCCTGGTTGGGGTCGTGTGGGTGGCAGCTACTCAATGTCTCTCTCTCGCATCGATGTTTCTCTCTCTCTCTCTCTCTCTCTTCGTCCGTCTCTCCCTCCCCGCTCTATCTAAACATAAATGCAAAATGTCCTCGGGTGAGGATAAAAAAAAAAGAACTAGAAACAGAAAAACAAACAAAATCCAAAGTCAGTGGAAGAAAAATAATTAAATTTAGAATGAAATTAAAATAAGAACAAAAGACAATAAAAAAATTAATCCAACAAAGAGCTGGTTCTTGAAAAAATTAATAAAACTGACAAACTCCTGGCTAGATTCACTAAGGAAAAAAGAGAGAAGACTCAAATAAACAAAATCAGAAATAAAAGAGAAGTTACAGTGGACACCACAGATACACAAAGGACTATAATAACAATACTATGAAAGAATATACACCACCAAATTTGATAACATAGAAGAAATGGACAAGTTCTTAGAAAAATATAAGCTTCCTAGACTGAATCATGAAAAATTGGAAAATCTAAATAGACCAACAGTAAGGAAATGGAAACGGTAATCCAAAACCTCCCAAAATGTAGCCCTGGCCAGGGCTCAGTTGGTTGGAGTATTATCCCATGCTCCAAAAGTTTGCAAATTTGATTCCAGATCAGGGCACATACCTAGGTTTAGGGTGGAATAACCCGTTGGGGTGCATAGGGGAGGCAACCATTTGGTGTTTCTCACATTGATGTTTCTGTGTGTGTGTGTGTGTGTGTGTCTCCCCCTCTTCCTTCCTCTCACCCACTCTCTCTTAAAAAAAAAAAACAGGAAAAACTCCTGCAACACCAAAAGGACCTAGCTCTGTAGATGACATTAAGTGAAAAAATTCAGGCAAATTGAGAAAAACAACACTGAACAGTCCTGATATATTGAACCCCAAAATAAAGAGAGAGGACAAGGAAAGACAAAGCTCAAACTAAGTATCATCAACAATCCACAATGAAATCTTCTATTTAAATATCAATCCCCTTTCCTGATCTGCCACTCATCCATGTCCCATTCTAGGATGGAAGCAATCTCCCTCTTAACACTGAAACAAATACAAAAAAGCTTGTACAAGAATGTTAAAACAGCATTATTCATAACAGCCAAAAAGTGAGTACAACCCAAATGTTCATCAACTAATAAACAAATAAACAAAACAGTATATTCGTGCAACAAAATTTTACTCAGCCATAAAAAGAAAAGAAATGCTAATACAAGATACAGCATGGAAAAATACTTAAAACATGTTAAAATGAAAGAAACCAAAGACAAATGGAACATATTATATGATTCTATTTACCTGAAATGTCCAGAATATGTAAAACCATACAGACCAGAGATTAGTGGCTGCCAGGGGCAAGGGGGATATAGAAAGTAACTACTAATAGGTATGTGGTTATTTTTCAAAGTGATAAAAATGTTCTGCAATTATATAGTGGTGATAATTGCACAACTTTATGACTGTATTAAAAGCCACTGAACTGTACACTTTAAAAGGGTCACTACCATGGTATTTGAATTTTTTATCTCAGTAATACCCCCACTCCAATAAAGCAAAATGACAAGCCACAAAATAGAAGTTTTCTGCTATACACACAAATGACAAGAGGCTTTAGGAAATACTAGAAATAAAAAAACAATCCCCCAAAAATTGCCATAAGGAACACAAATAAACCATAAACAATGGAAAATAAGCTCTATCTCATTCCCGATGAGGGAAATGCAAATTAAAACCACAGTAAGAACTATTTCACATCCAAGTGAAAAAAAATTATCAAATGAAGGCAAGGCTACACACAAAATGGAACTTGTACACGCTACAAGTGAGAATGTAAAATGGTACTGCCATTTTAGCAAATTTGGTATTATCTAGTATACTTAAAAATATGCATACTCTCTGACCAAGCAATGCCATTCCTGGGCACATGTCCTAGAAAATGTATTTACATGCGAACCAATAAATACAGTACCAGTGTGTGAAACAGCAACAAATTAGAAACAATCCATCTAGTAAGATCAAAAATAGAATGGGCAGAGTTGCTATCTATTAACATAAAAACCAACAATACAAAAGAGGAAATGAATGAATGAAACTAAAGAAACTAAAAGAAAAAAAAAGCAAGTCAGAATCACAGAATCAAGTTGAAATGTATGGCAAAAACAACATTACCTTCTTTAAGGAGACAAACACTCATTCTTAGAAGGTATTAAGCATAAAATCAAACACTTACTTGCTTCTTTTTCAGTTTAAGGATCTGCTGCTCTACTTTCGCAATTTCTCGATCTACACGATCCATACTCTGTATTAACTCTTCCTTTGAAAGCTTTGAAGGTGAAGCATTTTGATCATCTCCACATGGTTGCCCCGAGATTGGAGAGGATGGAGCTTCATGTTTGCCTCCAAATGTATCCTTTAGAGAAGAAAATCAAGAACAATTTATTCCTCACTAATAGCCAATGATAGTGTTAAGATTCTTTTAACTTAAAAAATCAATTTTAAAATGTCAAATGATGGTCATTGGCTCCAATTCAATGCTAATAGAAACCCCGAATTTGGGGTGCAGTTAGGAAGGAAACTTTATTCGGTGAAAACAGCTCAACTGCTACAGTGTGACTTTTAAAACAGCAAGGCTGTGAGGCTACACTTGGGGGCCAGGACCCCCTACACCTAGGCAGCTCTGCTCTGTCCACGATGGTTCAGTGTCTCAGATCTAGCAGAGAAAATGTGGGCTTCAGTGGGAAGTGCACTCTCTAAGCCAGAAGGGTGCTGGTTTATACACATAGAAGTCCCTGAATGGTCCATCCTCATGTAAATGAGGACTCCAAGTCCTCGGTTTGATTACTCCAAAGGCATTGTCCTGATTGGTCAGAATAGAGCTGCTCTGGTTTACTGGAGCTGCACAGCTCCAATTGAATGGGGAAAACCTGTACGATTGGTTGAAATAAAAAAAACTCCTTTATAAGGGCTGGTTCAAATGGCGGAAACACAGTGCAGGCAGGCAGTTCAGCAGGGGGGTTGGGCAGATGCAGGCCATTTAGCACAGGGGCTCCTCTGTGAAGTGGTTTGTGTGAGAGGCTCCTGTGCAGAAATGGCTGCTGGGGGGCGGGGGCGGGGGGGGGGGGTGTCTAGTTAGCCACCATGAGCCCTTCATAGTAGGTGTCTTTCTTTCGTTTCAGGGTTCACAAAAACACAGTAGAGCCATGTGTGCTACTTTTCTATAATGAAGTCCTACAGTAGTAATTTTTATAGACACACAACCTTCACTGATGTTTAATAACACTTTTATAATTTAGACATAGCATTCACTATTTTGAAGATCTTATAAGTTATACAGAATGAGGTGGCAGTTTGGCTGACCAACCTTCAGTATAACAATACTGAAACTAGAGAATTTCTGGGGGAGATAAAAATGCAATCATGACCAAAGAAGACAGAAATTTCTCAGCCATTTTCTTGCAATGGTTCTTCAAAAGATCTAAGCATGGCTCTGGCCAATTTGGTTCAGTGGTTAGTGTTGGCCCACGGACCAATGAGTCGCAGGTTTTATTTTGGTCAAGACAAGTACCCTGTGGTTGAGGTTCATTCCCCACTCTAGTCGAGGTCCTATGGGAGGCACCCAGTTGATATGTCTCTCTCACATTGATGTCTCTCTCTCTCCCTTCCCCTCCCTCCCACTGACTCTATCTAAAGATAAACAGAAAAACATCCTCAGGTAAGGATTAAAAAGAAAAAAAAAAAAAGACCTGAATATGTAGGCTAGAAAATAGCATAAACTCCAGGTAAAAATCTGTGTGCCTACCCAACTTAACAATTATGATATGGTCAAGAGTTCCTATCAAAATGTTTTTAGGCTTTGCAAGGGCCAATACTGAGGCACAGAAGTTAGAAAAATGACGTAGGAACTTTTTTGTTGCTACTATCACCTAGGCCTATCCTTATAAAGGGCAACTAACCCAACTAACCCTGCCCACGCTACAGCACATACAACATCTCTTTAGCCAAACATATCATACCATTCCACCTAAAAATCAGCAGGGAACTGTAGCAAAATAGTAGCCCAACTACACAAAATCTACCACCCTGTACACACATACAACACACACACACACACACACACACTATTAATTTCCAGTCTAAGGTAAAGATATAAGTAATACTGTAATTTTCTTCAGGTATAAGAAGTCTAGAATAAGCATAGTTTATAGGACTTCAGTTGTTTTAATTTTGCAAAGAATGCCATTGGCATTTTAATGGGGATTGTATTGAATCTGTATATTGCTTTATGTAGTAAGGACATTTTAGCAATAGCTAATTCTTCTAATCCATGAGCAGCAAGGTATACCTTTCCATTTATGTGTTTATTCTTCAATTTCTTCAATATCTTATAGTTTTCAGAGTACTGGTATTTCACCTCTTCGGATAAATTTATTCCCAGATATTTTATGCTTTTTGATGCAAATGTAAATGGGATTGATTTAATTTCCCCATCTCATCACTCATTATTGGTGTAAAAAAAATGCAACAGATTGCTGTATATTGATGCTATATCCTGCAACTTTACTTAAATCATTTATTAGTTCCAACAGTTTTTTGATGGAGGCTTTAGGGTTTTCTGTATATAGTATCATGTCATCTACAAATAATAAAAATGCTGCTTCTTTTTGGGTTTGGATGCCTTTTATTTTTCTTGTCTGGTTGCTGTGGCTATGACTTCCAATACTATGCTGAACAGAAGTGATGACAGTGAGCATCCATGTCTTGTTCCTGATCTTAGAGGTAGCTTTCAACTTTTCACCACTGAGCATATTAGCTGTGGGTTCATCATATACAGCCTTTATTATATTGAGATATGTTCCTTCTATACCCATTTTACTAAGGAGTTTTTACCATAAAAAAATAATGAATTTTGTCAAATGCTTTTTCTGCATCTATTGAGATTATACAGTTTTTATCCTTTATTTTGTAATTTGTGATGTATCATGTTGATTGATTTACAAATGAACCATCCTTCAATCCCTACGAATAAGCTTTTAAGATACCTTTCTGTTAAAAATTCCATAAATAGATTTTATATATATATATATTTTTTTTAAATGCTGCAAAATACTTCTTTTACATCCATGAACTATAATACAGAAATTTCACATGGTGAAAAGGGTATCAAAACCCCCTGAAGCTTAGCTCATTTCTAGCTTATGACAAAGAGCGTTTCCCCACCCAACTTATTTTGTAAATTTTCAAACTTACATAACAGTTGAAAGTTGAGTATAATAGATAATTTCTTCTTCTTCGATATTCACTAGTTAACATTTCACTTTATTTTTTTCTCTCTATATACACACATACACATCTACCTTTTTTCCCTTGGCTCAACCATACGAAATAAATTGCAAACACTTGCTATCTCTTAAATCACCTTTCACTGCATAAAAAACTCAAAGGAAGGCCTGGCCGGCTTGGCTCAGAGGTTAGAGTGTCGGCCTGCAGACCAGAGTCCTGGGTTTGGCTCCTGCTAAGGGCATGTACTTTGGTTGCAGTCTGTCCCTGCCAACCAGGGCGTGTGGGTGGCAATCATCCGATGTGTCTCTCACATCAATGTTTCTCTCTCTCTCCCTTCCCCTCTCCTTCCCACTCTATCTGAAGATAAATGCAAAAAAATGTCCTCAGGTGAGGATAAAAAAAAAAAAAGACTCAAAGAATGTATGTGGGTATTTATCTAATTTCAGGGTGGGAAGGGCCATTATTCATAAAGGTAAATAATCTATAAGAAAGAAATTAGCCCATGAGTGTTCAATTCTGGTCAAGGGCATGTACCTGGGTTGCCTGTTCGATCCCAGCCCCAGAAAGGGTTATGCAGGAGGCAACCAATCGATGTGTCTCTTTCACGTCAATGTCTGTCTCTCTCTCTCTCTGTCCCTCCCTTCCACTCTCTCTAAAAATCAATGAAAAAATATCCTCGAATGAGGATTAACAAAAGAAAAAGAAAAAAAAAGAAGTATTGCCCTGGCCGGTTTGGCTCAGCAGAAAGTCGGCCTGTGGTCCAGAGAGACCAGGGTTCGGTTCCCGCTAAGGGCATGTACCTCAGTTGCGGCTTGTCCCCGGCCCTGGTTGGTCGTGCGGGTGGCAGCCACTCAAAGTGTCCCTTTCACGTCGATGTTTCTCTCTCTCTCCCTCTCTGTTCCTCTCTCTCCTTCCCACTCCATCTGAACAAAAAATGGAAAAATGTCCTCCGGTAAGGATTAAAAAAAAAAGTATTTGCTAGTAAGAAGAGAGTAAGAGATATTAATGTATGATAGCAAAGTGGTTAACAATTTATTATTGAGTTTTAAAGAATTATTCTCTCTAAAGTATTTATTCCATTCCTATAAAGTACCATGTTTAATGATAAGCAAAATGGACAGTTTAAAAAGATCAAACTCTTTGCTTAATCCCTTCACCCTTTTCACCTAACCCTGCCACCCCTCTGCCCTCTGATAGCTGTCAGTCTGTTCTCTATCTATAAGTCTGTTTCTATTTTGTTTGGTAATTTGTTTTGTTCATTAGATTCCACATATGAATGAAATCATATGGTACTTGTCTTTCTCTACTGGCTTATTTACTTAGCATAATAATATCTAGGTCCATCCATGCTGTGGCAATTGGTACAAAAAGAAACCCCTCAAACACACAGAAAACAGCATGGAGATTACAAAAAGGGGAAACAGGGGTAGGTAGGAAAGGATAAAGGGGGGATAAATAGTGATGGAAGAAGACTTGAGTTTGGGTGGTGAATACACAATACAATATATAGATGATGTATTACAGAATTGTACACCTGAAACCTATATAATTTTATTAACCGATGTCACCCCAATATATTCAATTAAAAAAAGATAAACACAGCAACAAAATAAGGGCGTAATACACACATACATTTTATTAAAGAAAGGCAAATAATAATAAACACAGAGAAAAAGAGGTTTGATCTTAGAACCTTCTCATAAATACACATCATTTGAAATGTCACAGAATACAGCCACATATTAAAAGAAGTTATCGCCAAGATATAGAATTACAAGTAACTTTTTTTTCCTTTGTATTTGCAAGTTTTTTAAAGAACATCTTTTTTACATGAATTAGGAAAAAAAAATGTTTTTTCTTTACAAAAATTACAAGTACACTTAAACCTTACCTAAAACGTGTCTTCTCCAACGTAGCAAGTTAAAAAATTGCAACTGAATTTCAAAAGATCTAAAATTTAATTTAAATTTAATAAAATTATAGTAGTCTTGAGTACCTCGGACCACATTTTATAGCCCAAGCATGCCAGTGTTACATGACAGCAATTTTTCTTTGTAACAGTTCTCAGATTATTTTCATTTACTAAAAGTCAAAAGTATTGACTTTAAAAGTCTGGAACAGTAAGTCTGTGGTCTTTAGTTTTGTTTAACAAAATTCTTCCTTTCCCATAGCACTAACCTTCAGAGACTGGTGTTACTGGACTTTCTCTTAGGCGCGGTGCCTGAGCATGGCTAAATAAACATTAGAGACCGACAATCCCACTGGGTAAAAGAACAAACATTTACCTTCTTCGAATCTGCAGAAGACCTCAACCCTTCTGGCAGCATGTGCACTAAAGGTAAAACCGCAGCACTGACACGCTGGAAATGGGAATCCGAAACCTGCTCCAAACGTGGTCGCTTGGACTCCAGTGAATCATGATCCACTGGGGACGGGCCTGGGTGAAACTGTTCATATCCAGGTCTCCTTTCTTGAGGCCTAATACATACAAAGAAAATAAACACTTAAAATATTTCAGTGATGTACAACTTCTCCTAGTATCCCTGGTTGGACTTTGAAATAAATGAAAAAGTTAGCTTCCTCACTATAAAGTACTATTCAATAGAAAACTTTTCTGTAGGAGAGGTGGGAGTGCTAGTGGTAAAGAAATGAAAGACGTAATAAAAGATTTCAATTTGCAGAAAATTTGAAGTTGCTGAAGAATATCTATAATGTTTTTAAACCTATAATTATTGAATTCAGTATAATTTAGACTAGAATAACATCATTCTTAACCAATAAAAAAAAAAAAAATGCAAAACAACACCAACAACAAAAAAACAAATCTAGCTCTGGCTAGGTGGCTGAGTTGGTTAGAGCACTGTCCCGTACAACCAAGGGTTTTGGGTTCAATTTCCAATTAGGGCACATACTTAGGTGGCAGGTTCAATCATCAGTCGGGGTGCATTCAGGAGGTAACTAATCGATGCTTCTGTTTCTCGCTCCCTCCACTGCCCTTCTCTCTCTTAAATCATAAACATATCCTCAGGTGAGGATTAAAAAAAAAAATCTAGCAATTGCTACATGGACAAATGACTTGGGTTATGAGGTATTATGAAGACCTAAAGAAGTCTCTTGGGTGGAAATGCTACATTGTTTTGAAGATATAATTCTGACCCCCAAAATAGGTATTCTGTCTAGACTCCCCAAGTATGTAAATGTCTTGAAGGTTAGAACTCTTTGATTTCTTTCAATGATGTACTGTACAGAGTACTACATACGGATATTTGTTAATTTGACTTTTCATTTTCTACCAAGATTTTTACAGAAGTGATATTTTACTTTATGGCCAAGCTTTAAAAACAAATGTCTCAAACAACAACATTTCTTTTAGGAGTACCATAAAATGTTTATGCTTATAAGAGAGAAAATACCACAGGACAAGGCCTTCCTCTGAGGTCTCCACAACATTTAACCTGAGCTCTCAGAATGAAGAAGGTGTAAAAACAATGAGATTGTAAAGCTTTGTCTTATTTCAATTATCCTGGTGACATATATTTGGCTGAAGATTACATTTTATAAATGTTTATATCTTCTTGGTATTAACTTTCCATAGGCTAATTTCATTGAAAACATTTCATTGAAATGATAATCACTGAGTTTCCTTTTCGGGATAGATGATAAAATAACCCTGAGGTGTATAAAATTACTATACTTCAAAAATTTGAAACCTCATTTAAGACATAAAATCCTATTATCTTCCTAAAATCCATGATAATGTCATTAAAACTAGTGGAGCAGGAAGCTTCAGGAACAAGACAAGGATGCTATGTTTGCTACTTGTATTCAATATAGTATTGAGGGTTGTCAGAGCACTAGACAAGAAAAAAATAAAATAAAAGCACCCAAAGTGGAAAGGAAGAAGTACTTCTATTTGCAGATGACATGATCCCATATCTAGAAAATTCCAAAGAATCCATACACACAAAAATGTTAGAGCTAATAAATGAATAGAGCAAAACTACAGGATACAAAAATCAACAATAAAATTCAGTTTTATTTCTATACACTAGCAATGAATAATCTGAACATCATATTAAGAAGACAATTCCATTTATAATAACATCCAAAAGAATAGAATAGGAATAAAGTTAACCAAGGAGACTCAAGACATATACCTCAAAAAAAACACAAAAAACAACAACAACAACAAAAAACTGCTGGGTGAAATTAAGGAAAACTTAAATAAATAGTAAGACATCCCATAGCATGTATTGAAAGATTTAATATTCTTAAGATGACACTACAACACAAAGCTACTTACAGATTCAGTGTAATCTGTATTAATAGCCCAAAGGCGTTTTTTGGATAAAGAGAAAAATCCGTTATAAAATTCACATAGAATCTCAAGAGACCCCAAATAGCCAAAACAGTTTTGGAAAAGAAATACAAAGTTGGAGAACTCACACTTTGCAATTTCAAAACTCACTACAAAACTACAGTAATCAAGAATGTGATACTGTCATAGGACAGATACACAGATCAATCAATTTGAGAGCCCAGAAATAAACTCTCACATCTGTAGTGAGCTGACTTTAAACAGGGGTGCCAAGACCATTCAATGGTGAAACAACAATCTCTTCAAATGGTGCTGGGAAAAATAGATATCCACATGCAAAATAATGATGTTTATCTTACACCATTTGCAAAAAATAACTCAAAACAGTAAGACTGAAATCTGTAAAACACCTGGAAAAATAACACACGAAAAAATCTTCCTGACCTTGGATTTGGCAATGAATTCCTGGATAATCACCCTAAAAGCCTATGCAACAAATAAAAAACAGATAAACTGTACTTCAACAAAATTAAAGCTTCTGTACATCAAAGGGCATTATCAAGAGAGTGAAAAAAAATCCAATGAAAGAAAATATTTGCAAATCATGTATTTGAAAAGGTTTTAATATCCAGAACATATAAGGAACTCCTACAACTAAAAAATAAAAAGACAAACACCCCCCCACAAAAAAATTAGCAAAAGATTTAAATATACATTTGTCCAAAGATATACAAATGGCCAACAAGCACATATAAAATGCTTAACATTATTTATCATTACGTAAATGCAAATCAAAACCACAATGAGATATCATTTCACACCCATTAGGGTAGCTTAAATTGTTTTTAAAAAATAATAATAGCCCTGGTCAGTTTTGCTCAGTAGTTAGAGTGCTGCCCACGAACCAATGAGTTGCGGGTTCAATCCCAATCAAGGGCACATACCTCAGTTGTGGTTCGTCCTGAGTCCTGGTCAGGGTCCTGTGGGAGGCAACCAGATGAGGTGGCTCTATCACATCGATGTTTCTCTGTTTCTCTCCCTCCCACTCTATATGATAATAAGTAGAAAAATGTCCTCAGGTAAGGAATAATAATAATAACAATAATAATGATAATGTGTCTACAAAGATATGGAAAAATTGGAACCACATGCACTATTTGTGGGATTGTAAAATTGTGCAGCCACTTTGGCAAAGACTGTGGAAGCTCCTCAAAAAGGTAAACATAGAATTATCATATGACCTAGAAATTCCACCTAGGTATATGACCAAAAGTATTGAAAACAGGGACTGTAAACAGATATTTATACAGCCATGTTCATAGCAGCATTGATAAAAAAAAAAAAAAAAAACCAGAATGTGGAAACAACCTATGCCTATTAAAAGATGAATGGGTAAACAAAATTTATATACACCCAGTGGACTATTATTCAGCCACCAAAAAAAATAAAGTTCTAACACACACTACAATATAGATGTATCTCAAAAACATGCTAAGTAAAATAAGCCAGACACAAAGGAAAACTATTGTACTATTTCATTTATATAAAATATCTTTAATAGGCAAATTCAGAGAGACAGAAAGTAGATTAGAGGTTACCAACCACTGGAAGGAGAATGAGGAATTATTGCTTAATGTATACAGTTTCTTTTTGGGATAATGAGAAAGTTATGGAAATAGTGCTGATGGTTGCACCACACTGTGAATGTACTTAATGCCAGTAAATCAGAACACTTAAAAGCAGTTAAAGTGATAAATTTTTTTGTGTACATATTTTTTTTTCTTTATTGATTTTAGAGAGAGAGAAAGGGAGGGGGAGATAGAGAGAGAACATCGATTGACCGCCTCCTGCATGCCCCCTACTAGGGATTGGACCCACAACCTGGGCATGTGTCCTAAGTGGGAATCGAATCACTAACCCACACCGGCCGGGCTCTATGTATATTTTAACACAATAAAAAAATTCACACACAAGCCCAGCTGGTGTGGCTCAGTGGTTGAGTGTCGACCCATGCATGAAGAGGTCGTCGGTTGGATTACCAGTCAGGGCACATGCCCAGGTTGTGGGCCTGATCCCCAGTGGGGGGCATTCAGGTAGCGGCCAATTGACATTCTCTCTCATCAATGTTTCTCTCTTGCCCTGGCCAGTTTGGCTCAGTGGTTAGAGTATCGGCCTGTGGTCTAGAGAGACCTGGGTTCGGTTCCCGTTAAGGGTACGTACCTCGGTTGCAGTTTGTCCCCGGCCCTGGTTGGTCCTGTGGGTGGCAGCAACTCAATGTGTCCCTTTCACATCGATGTTTCTCTCTCTCTCTTCCTCTCTCTCCCTCCCACTCTATCTGAACAAAAAATGGAAAAAAATGTCCTCGGGTGAGGATAAAAATAAAATAAAATACAATGTTTCTCTCTCTCTCTCCCTTCCTCTCTCTCTAAAATTAATAAAGAAAAAATATTTTTAAAAAGTCACACACAAGTTAATTTTCAGAATCAGTATTATTAAAGACTAGCCTAGGATACAGAGATCTCACATTCCAGCATAAAATTTTACATTAGAAGACTGTTACCATGAGAAAGAATGATTTAGACTCTTTCACCAGCTACCCTTTTCCAATTCACTAAATACACTGGACTGTGACTTAATTCCCCATCATTTTATTTTATTCCAATAGCTCACCACTCACTATAGTCAGCAATGACCTCCAAACACTGAAAACAAAAGAATATTTTTAGACAGATGCTGATGTATATGCCACATTTTGTATTTCTCTTACTCCTTCCTTTTTGAAAATTCCCAGGACACTATCTTCTCTGGCTGTCATATTCTAACAGTCTTCTGCTGGCACAGACAATGATTTTCCACAGGGAATACTAGCACTGATAATCTTAAAACAATCAACTTCAGAGATTCTGAACTTCCAGAGATACACTCTTTACTTAAATTGGCCTATCTTGAGAGGCAGGGTGGTAGGGTGGATGATGCATTGCGTTATGTTTTAAAAGTGCTGAGTTCAAGTCTTGGGTCTGGCACATACTAGTTGTATGATGTTGGCACTCATTAAACATCTCTAAACCTCAGTTTGTTCCTCATCTATAAAAGTATTATTACTATAAAAAGTTTTTATACTATCAGATAATAAATCGTGGGTTTCCTTTCCTTACTTCAA